GCCACAGAGACTGGCGAGACGTAAGGAAGAACAACCTTCAGAACACGGCCAAAGAGCCAGAAAAACCCACAACAACCATTAAATCCCGGCTGTGAAAGCGTTCACGAATAGATTGCTCATTCTTGGTTTAAAGCTATCCTTGCTCTCCTGTAATTAGTCATTGTGATCCAGGGCTGTGAAATTTGGGGAGAAAGACTGAAAAATATCACTTCTAGATTGCTGGACAAGAGACCAAAATAAATAGGGCAATGACTCCTTGTTGTATTTGCTAGTAATCTTTATTATGAATATTTTTACATATATATTCCTGCACCTGTACCCTACAGACTTTTCCTTCTCCTTTTATTGCTTGCTTAACAACGTGTGATGTCACCATATTTCTGTCTTGCTGGTCTGTATTTAATAGCTTCTGCTATATTTCAAGTTGCCTAGGAAGCTCTTACACTGCCTGCTTAATGTGTTCTTCTTTCTTTTCCGCATCCTCTTTCTCTGCTCATATTTACAGGTCTTCTTTTTATGACAAGTATCTCTTACGCTAACCCCGATCAGTTTGTGTACAAAACTCTGCCTCCCAATGTCAGAGCAGACACACCCACTGATGTGATGATGAATAGCTATCTAGGTTTGTGGCCTCCAAAATGATGGTCCATACGGCTTCATTTTATTACATTTCCAATCTTTTGACATGGTCATTCAATTTCCATTTCAAGTCCATACATGTCACAGAAGAAGTTCAGATGAGATGAGAAGACTTAGGAAAGATCACCGCTTGTGGGGGTGGGTGGGAAGAAAAAGCACTGGAAATTGGGTTTTAAAGGTGCTTACCTGGCTATTGCCGATGTGAAGGGCTTAATGGCAGTAACTCAGAGTGGCCTGTGTTCATATGCCCCGTGGCGCAGCTCGTAAAAATTCCTTCTTTGAAACACAGTTTTCAGGTTTTGCGACCTGCTGTGACCCCTGACCATTCTATCCACACCAGCATCTTACCTGAATTTCATGACTCCTGGTGAGTTTCTGTCGTTGACAAGTGGAGATACCGTAGTGAAAAACCCCAGAGTTATCGGGTGGGACATACTGTAATGTTTTCCACCTCCCATTCCATGACTATCCTCTTAAAGTAGGAAGACTTTCTTTTAAAAATATTGAGATTCGTAACACATGTTCACATGGGTGTGCTTTGTTAAAGTGGTATGGATCATAGCATTAACACGGTGCAAATCACAAGAAAGCTATGCTTTTTTAAAAAATTGCCTGAAACAGGGAAATTGCGTTGATGATTAATCAGACAATCTGTGTGAAGCTTGCATTGTTTGTCTCACAGCTGGAGAAACAGGGGCCTGTGGCTTCTCCATACATTCAAAAGGTGTTTTTTTCTGTGGCATCTGTATGGATGATTCGGTGACATTTGTGTGCAAGTGTGTGGATAAATGGAGCCCTGTGGGGTCTGTGTATGTGCAAATCTGAGTGAGAAGTGTTTGTGTGTGTGTGTGTGTGTGTAAGAGAGAGAGAGAGAGAGAGAGAGAGAGAGAGAGAACCCACTGTCACTTGATCATCATCACCATCCCATACTGTTATTGTTTCTCTTTTGGTTGTGAGATTCGTAAGGAAAAAAGTGAAAAATTCCATGATTGGAAAAGCTGATAAGAAGGCTCTGGCCATCTGTCATATGGACGTCCCACAGATAACTTCTGAAGGAACACAGATAAAGAATTTCCCACTGATCATATATGAATCTCTCTCTCTGTCTCTCCCTCTCTCTCTCTCTGTCTGTCTCTCTTTCAATATCTCTCTGTCTCTCTCTCCCTCTTACTTTTTCAGGCCTTTGCTGTTTGCTAGGATACCACAACTTTATGTTTTAATTCACTTAAAGTTGGAACTTTTGCCTCATAGATAAGTTATGTCGATAATTCAAATTGAAATAAACACAAATATTTATAGCGCTTTCAGTTACCACTTTAACATAGTCCCCATTACTACAAAGGATCCACAGGAAGCCGGGTGAAGTGGGAGTGAGGTGGGGAGGGGGTGCCCCCATTTCTCCAGGACTTCAGCAGGCTAGGCCTTGACTGGACGTTTGTGTGACTCTGTCTTACAGGTTTTTCTCTGGACACTGGGAAAGGGATTGTTTCTCAGGAAGACGTCACATTTGTTTCGGGAGCCCCAAGAGCAAACCACAGTGGAGCTGTGGTCCTCTTGAAGAAAGACAGCGTCCTCCAGCGGTCATTGTCTCTTGTGCATGTGCTTGAGGGGGAGGGGCTGGCCTCTTCCTTTGGCTATGACGTGGCCGTTGTGGACCTCAACAGTGATGGGTAAGGCTCACCCCCCACCCCCCGTGTCTGCTCCTCCATGCTGCTATGTTTCTCAATCACAGTGGGAGAAATTGGGTGGTTTGGGAATCTGAGAAGTAGAGAACCATCCATCCATCCATCCATCCATCCATTCATTCATTCCTTGCCCATCTAGTGCTGAGGTATTACTCTGGTAGGAGCACCTGGAGTCACATCCAGCCCCAAAGCTGTTTTTTAACACCTTCCATGAAACTCCCCAGGCTATTCTTTTTCCCAGCAGAAACACATTGGGCTTCCTGCTAACGGAGGCCTCCAGCAGTAACATTTTTGCATTGCTGAGGGTCAAAGGTCCACCTCAAACATCCTAAAATCCTGATGACCAGTACCTGAAATCTGTTGATCCAGATGTGATTTTTGCCATTTTTGCCTGTTTCTGGATGAGTGCTGGGGGTGAAAATTTGGCTCCCAGGCCCAAAGTAGCCCCTCCTGATCAATGATGATATAAAACATACTGTATCATATCACTGTTTGATGAAAAGCAGCCTTCTAGCCATCTTCATATCTAACGGTTCTTTTCTCCCACCCCCAAGTCCTTCAGCTTCAGTGGCCTGAGAAATTAAATGTTGTTACAGAAAGGAATCTAAGTGTACAAAGTTCAACAACATCAGTATCTGTCAGGATACTCTGAAACATCTAGAACAGTCTAAATCAACCACCAGCTCTTTATTTCCACAAGCTAGGCTCAGATGCATTTAATTTGTTTGTTTATATACCGCCCATCTGGCAACCCAGGCCAATCCGGGCATTTTACATAGCGTAAAACAGGGTATGAAACAAAACAATAAAATAAAATATAAATTAATCAATATAAAATTAAACAGATAAAATTAATATCAGTGAATATTAGCATAAAAGGGAAGGAAAAAAGATTTGGGACATATAACTTACACCTTGGTCATGGACTTTGACTGATCAGTTGTGCAGTGTGCAATTATGTCATGCTGAGTCAGAAGTAAGTCCCATTATGCTCACTCAGTGGGACTTAAACGTATCTAGGATTGCAGCCTTAGGGGGTTTATCCAAACAACTGAAAAAGTAGCAGCCAAATTTTCAGGATTCTTGAGAGACTGAAAGTACACTGGCAGCCTTTCCCAACCATATGTGTTGGACTACAATTCTCAACACCCCCAGCTTGCTGACTAGAGATGGTGGTTGTTGTCGTCATTTAGCTTGTCTAAAAGACACTGAGTTGGGAATGAGTACATGGTAGAAATGATAATGTAAATGGACTGGTCGGTTATTGCTAAACTATTGTATGGCTCCTTCTCAGCAGGTGTTTCTGTTTTAAAAAAAAATCATGTTGCACAGTGCCGTATCCTGAGCTTGCAGAAATCCAGGAGTCAACCCCATCTTCGTACAGTTACCCTCAAAACAAATTACCTTCATTTTTTTTTCTCAGTTGGCAAGATATTGTTGTCGGAGCACCCCAGTATTTTGACAGAGATGGAGAAATTGGTGGCGCTGTGTATGTTTACATTAATCAGCAGGGCCAGTGGCCAAGGGTAAAGCCAATTCGGCTCAACGGAACAACAAACTCCATGTTTGGAATTGCAGTTGAAAATATTGGTGATATTAATCAAGACGGCTTTCCAGGTAAGCAGCCGTGACATCGGCCTTCAGTATGTCTGCTGGTACTACAAGCGACATGTTTTGGCTAAATCCAATTGTTCGTCTCAGCTAGAACAGATCCACTGAATGGATGGGACTTTCAAAATCAACGTTTATGGAAATCTCACTAATTCAATAAATCTCCTCTAGTTGGGATTAACAATTAGATTTGTCCCTTAATAATTAGCATAGATTCCTCACAGTTAGAAATGCTGGATTTATTCATAAATCATTCTCTCTGAATCTAATACAATTGTATTCATTCATTCATTATTTGTGTATTTATTACTGTATTTGTGCCTCACTTTTGATTAAGAGAAAAAATGCTCAAGGCAGCTAGCTAATAATATATTTAGAAAGAAATGATACATATTTTCATTTCTCAAGAGCTTTTGAAATTTGAGCTTATCCTTACAAAATGTGTGTCTGGCAAATACTTCTTTCTCTTTTTTTATCTATTTCTATGAAATATTGTCTTGTGGGCACCCGAGTACTGCCATTCCAAATTCATGTGTTTATGTAGCTTTTTTCCATTCTGCGCAGAGCTGTATAGACTCTGCATAGACTCTGTTTACAGTACCTTGGAATTTAAGATATTTAGTCATTTAAAATTGTAAAATAGCTTTGAACGTTTTGTATTTTGTCTTTCTTTTTTAAAACCACCACCACAACAGATATTGCTGTAGGGGCTCCGTATGAGGGAAAGTACGGCAAGGTGTATATCTATCATGGCTCCAAGAATGGAATAAATACAAAATCAGCACAGGTACTAAAATGTAGCCTTCAGTTCTCTTTATAGGGGGAACAAAAGTATTACTTGTGTAATCAGCTTCACTTCGATAGCTTTTCATGCATTCTTTCTGCCACCAGCTTCTGTCTTCTACTTGACTTTATATGTTTCTTTCTTACCTTTTCTTTATGCCCATGTGAATCACTTAGCACAGGGATGAGAAACCTGTAGCCCTCCAGATGTTGTGTTCCAGTCCCCACCATCAGTAATTGCCTGGACTGATAGGTGAACATCTGGAGGATGCGAAATATCTGTTGTCTTGGGAGGTGCAAGCTTCCATCTCTGCTTCCTTTCTTCTGTTCTTTTGGAATTGTTATTCTCCACCTCCACCACCCCTTTTTTACTCATAAACTTTATAGAAATAAGAAATTGGGTTGGGGGTGGGACTGACTTTCTGTCTTCCATTAATCCTTAACTCTGTAAAACCACGAGTTCTGTAACACCTTTCAATTCCAGAAGTCATCGCTGAAGTGATGCAGGTGTAGTTCTCCTACACCTCTGTAGGTTATCTGTAAAGAGTTGAGCCTTGGGCAGGAGTGTGAGAATGAGGAGCTGTGGGACAAGCCAGTAGACAAAGTCAAAGAGCAAGGCGCACCTAGAGAAGAAATCAGGAGGCAGGGCTGAAAAATAACAAGGATGCAGGAGGATTTTGTTACTTGAAGAAGATTCGACTGGAACAGGATGTCCTCTTATACTCCGTTCTGTCTGGGAGGATTCACAGGCTAGCCTAGGCCAGCACAGATTGCCCAGGACCTGGGGAGAGCGCTTTGCCAAAGGTCTTCTGCTAATGAGTAAAGATGATAAGCATGGTATCTGACACAGGATGGTAGAGAAGGAACTCATAAACCTTTGTGTTTTAATTTTTAGATTCTTGATGGAGAGGGAGACGGTGTTTCATACTTTGGTTATTCAGTCACCGGAAATATGGATCTTGATCAAAACGGCTACCCTGACATTGCTGTTGGGTCCCTTTCAGATTCTGTGTCTGTTTTCCGGTGGGTAGCGCTGCCTTCTTCGCTGTGGTTTAATGGTCTGCATGTGGAAAGGGGCTTTTGAAAAGCGTGTTGGGGATTAGTCGGGTGAGAGCTAACTTCAGGCTCATGAGATCTGCCTGGTTTTTTGACTGGAACCCTGAACTCCACCAACTCAAGATACTAACTGGGGACAGAGCCAGATGCAAAATGGTGGCTTAGGGGGTCAGAGCCAGTTACTTCCTGCACGTCACATGCCACTGGCAGGACTTGCCTATATAAACACAAATCTGCCTCCAGGTTTTTTGCAGGTCAAGAATTCAGACAGCCTTATACTCTACTACAGTGTTGGGCTGCTGTGTACCTCCAATACTTTTGAACTGCAGATCTAAATCAGTGCTGACCAGTGGAGAGGGATCATGGGAACTGTAGTCCAGAAACATTCAGTTGACCATCCCTGCTCTAACAGGAGATACAGAACCACATATGCTGTTGTGATTGTTAAACAATGGGGAGTTGCGATCCCTTACTTACCCAAGGATCTGTCAGCAGATGGCAGGATCCCTTCTGCCCTCCCTGGATCAAGGATACTTGTGGAAAGAGGATTTTGCAACTTCACACACAGTCCCAGACATACCTGCCCTTCTAGCGCTGAGTAATTTTCCCTCGGTAAAGTGCAATATCCATATTCTCTGGCAAAGGAATCCTGACTAGATTTAACCTGAGCCCCCCTCTCCCAATATATTACACCCCACATCATGCCTATGTTCTTTTTCTCCAGACCTGTTCAACAGTGTGAGGCTCTTGGGTCTAGCTATCTATTGGAAGCTGCTATCTTTATCCCAGTGTTTCTGGGCCTGGAGCCAGTGTACGGGTGAAGGAAGATGCTCAGAGGACATGAACCTTAAGACAGATTATAGGGAGGGCAGCCATTCCATCTGCCTTGCCCAGGGCTTCTCCTTTACAGCACTGGGCTTGGGGAAGGACTGCTTCCTAGGACTCCCCCCACCCCCCTCTAAGCTTTGGGGATTCTTATAGGAAGATGCCAGGGGATCTATCAGAGGGCAGCATGCTAGGACCTTGTCAACTGTGGTGCCAGCTCTGAATGAGGTGGTCCAACCTGTCTTGGACTATAACATTTCCAACAGAGGGTAATAAAGGTAGAATCGTCCTTCCTCCCCCATCTTGTTTTCTGTGTGCAAAGAATTATTTCACATCTGACAGAAGAGACAGTGTAACAACCTACATGCAAACCTGTTATATCCTGTTTCATTTGTGAGAACGATTACTGTGATACCCACTCCTCCCTAATCTTTGAGAACCAGTGTGGTGCAGTGGATCAATTGATGGACCAGGACTCATGACACCAGAGTTCGAATCTGTGCTTGGCCATGGAAACTCACCGGTGTGTGTATGGCACCAGTAAAACCACCTCTTAAATATTTCACCAGAGTTTGAATCTGTGCTTGGCCATGGAAACTCACCAGTGTGTGTATGGCACCAGTAAAACCACCTCTTAAATATTTCAGCTACCCTGAAAACCATGTTAGGGTCACTAGAGATTGAATGCAAGTTGATGGTGCACAACAAACCAACGACCATCTTTAAGGGAGGGACAGACAGACAGACAGACCATAAGATACTCAACAATTTTATTCTTAAATATACAATAGTCATTCAGTCTGTGCTTATCAAGGTTGATTTTTCTGACATGTTTTAGTACTTTATACATTAAAAGTAATTGTAAAATAAAATCTTTGTTCTTTTTTACATCAGACTTTGGCAAAATTATTTTCTGGACCACAGTTCCTGGAATCCACCAGCCCCCTGTGGCCACTGGGATTCTGGGAATTGTAGTCCAAAATTTTGACACTTCCAGCCTGGCTTCCAACAGTAAAACACTGCAAAGAGCGAAGCATGCTGTCTTTCACTACTCCTCATGCATCCCCACCAGTATAAAAATGGAGGATTTAGGGTTGCTTTAGCAGTCTACCAGCTAAATACCTGTGTTTTTTGTAAATTGCAATATATTTAATGACTCTTTCCCACCTCCCCTTTTCATGCCCGTTCAATACACAAGATCGAGGCCTGTGGTAAATATTAAGAAAACCATTGAGATATCTCCAGACAGTATTGACCTAAACAACAAGAACTGCCATGAACCCAGTGGGATTTGGTAAGCTTCTCCGCATTTCATCTTGGTCTTAGCAAATGTATTGTGTCTTTCATATGCCTGAGAATGTCTGTTATCTGATGTGTTGTTTCAGAGAACACTGTGCCAGCTTATCGACTATCACCTCCCCTCCATACTTATTTGTAATTTAATTTTAAGAAAAGCATTTACAATTAGCTTTTCTGCTCACTGGGACCCCCAAAGGGATAACACATTAAGTTATGTTTTACACCTTCTTTTTAAAAACAATTTAGACGAAATTATAAAAACCAAACTCCAGATAGTATCGTCAGGTTCCAGCTGCCCACTGGAAACGCAGCAAGGATGGAGCCGGCCTGGGAGCGTGATCAAAATGGCCTCTGTTGCTCCTCCCTGCTTGCTGCTATCAAACATACCCATTCTCTTGGCTTCTTCTCTCATATTTGGGCACAGCCCAGGCCCTTCTAGAAAGAAGATGCTTTGTGACATGCCCAGTTGTTGTTGTTTAGTCGTTTAGCCATGTCCGACTCTTCGTGACCCCATGGACCAGAGCATGCCAGGGGTTAAATTCATGTTGGTAGGTTCGATGACCCTGTCCAAACATCTTGTCCTCTGCCGTCCCCTTCTCCTCTTCCCTTCACACTTTCCCAACATCAGGGTCTTTTCCAGGGAGTCTTCTCTTTTCATGAGATGGCCAATGTATTGGAGCCTCAGCTTCAGGATCCGTCCTTCCAGTGAGCCCTCAGGGTTGATTTCCTTCAGAATGGATAGGTTTGATCTCCTTGCAGTCCAGGGGACTCTCAAGAGTCTCTTCCAGCACCACAATTCAAAGGCATCAATTCTTCAGCGGTCTGCTTTCTTCATGGTCCAGCTCTCACTTCCATACATCACTACAGGAAAAACCATAGCTTTGACTATGCGGACTTTTGTCGGCAAGGTGATGTCTCTGCTTTTTAAGATGCTGTCGAGGTTTGTCATCGCTTTCCTCCCAAGAAGCAGGCGTCTTTTAATTTAATGAAAACACATCTCCTGATCCCAGTCAGGAGATTAGACCAACCGCCAAGGGGGCAAAACACATCTTGCAGGAATCTCAGCTCAGCTTAGGGATCCCTCCGTGGGCCTGTTGCCTGAGCAGACTCCCCTCGTTCTTTGTCTCTGGTCACTGCTGCACATTCCCTTCTTACTTTCTCTTTTGGTCACAAGCCACACCATTGCCCAGAAGGGAAAGCAAGTCTGGGCACAAGAGGAAGCTGCTTTTCCTTCTCCCCACTCTTCTCGTTGCTCACTGGTTTGGAGCAAACAGTGAGACAGGGGGTGGCTTGTGAGGAGGAGGTTGCTTTAGAGGTGCAGGTTGACAGTGGTTCTCAGTGGGCCTCAGGTGTGGGCCTCAAGATGCCTGATCCTGATGCCAAACCTGCACGTTGCTGTGGTTCCCTTCCTTGCAGGCCAATGTTAATTCCCACAGTACTGACCATTCAAGGTGGCCTGCCTGGGAGCCACCGGGTCAGTTCCTTGTTGGTCTCCAGGGCCTCCCATTTTGTCTGGCTAGTTGTTCAGAAGGAAAAATGTTGGCGGAGCTTCTCTGCAAGTCTGAGAGACACAGAAAACACACACACACACACACACACAACATTTACAGCAGAGAATACTTGGCTTAGGTGCTTTGTTGGCTTTTGAGCTTCTAGGCCTTCTTTATGAAATGTTCACCCTGCTGATATTTTTATCTCCCCTAAAAAGTCACTTCTGTGTTCTTTAATTTTTACAGCATGAATGTTAAAGTGTGCTTTGAATACACAGCAAGCTCCAGGGACTATAACCCCAAAATGTGTAAGTTGTGTCATATTTTGTTAAGTTACTGTTGTATGAATGATTTCAGGAAATCCGCTTTCTCTATGTCTTCGTTTATTTCGTAGGTTTCTATACTGCCCCTGAGCGTGATGCAGCACTGTTCTGGGCAGTTCGAAAAAGGGATAAAATCTAACAGAAATAAAAGTAAATCAAATAACAAGATAGATATTTTTTTTAAAAAATCATATTAATTGAAACTTCACAGAGACAAAACAGCAGAAGGATTGTCCCTCAGAAGGCTGGCAGGGCAAGTGGCCAATTCCTATGAGATCACTGCCAGAATCCTCAGTGAAGAATCGTGTCTTAAGCAACCTCTTGAAGGTAGCCAGGGCAAGGCCTGAGCCTAGCTCGACTGGGAGGTGGTTCCAGAGGGCTGGTGCCCCTTTGTGCTTTGCTTTTGTGTCTCACCACAGTGGCTTTCCATGTGGCCCTGTGATCTTCGGAAGTGGGTTTCCGTGAATGTGGCCTTCTTAACAGATTCATGGCCTGAGTCATTTTCCCACAGATGCTCCGCTGTAATTGAGGACATCATCTCACCTGGCTGTCATTTCCGTAACGTAAACTGTTTGGAATTAATTCCAGTGGAGTCGTGTTTGCATTGAAGCACCAGCATGACATTAGTTTTGGGCCTTGAAATAACAGTTTTTCTCACTATTATATAGTGAATAGACCAGTGATGAGGTCTGCGCTACAAACGTTACTAACTATAACATTGTACTGGCCTTTTAAGCCGATTGAGCCAGCACAAATATTTATATCTTTATTTATCCCAATGTATATTCTAACATTTGCTTTAAGAAAGCCTCTGGGCACTTAAGAACAATTGAAAGTGAAAAAGGAGTATCGCCCTTATAAAATTAGTTTAAAATAACCAATATAAATAACTAAAGTGCAGCAGTGGTTACAAAAAAAAAAATCAGATGAAATGAGTCTTGGAACAAATCCATGTCTCCCTAAATAGTTAAGATGTTGAGAATTTAAACGGTTGCCTAAAAGCCAAGGTTGGCCAAGCTTGACGAAGGGAGTGTGTTTTCCCACGGGAGGCTGCTCCCACTGCCTTTCGTGCCTGACATTCTGACATACAAAAGGTGGTGCTCGGAGCAGAGTTCCTTTTTGAAACACTCGAGAAGCACTCGGATGATTCCTTGGACAGGAGGCTAAACTGGAGCCATTTGGCGCTTCGTACAACAGAATCTGGTTTTAAATTATGTTTGGGGAAATAGACAGCAGCCAGTGTAGTTGGTTATTTTTGTCCTGCACAGGTTTTGTGTGCAACATTTAACAGGCTCCTGTAGTGATTTGCATGAAACTAATGCCCTTCTTGAAGAAAAGATTCCACCCCCTTCAAGCAATAGCCATGTTAAATCTTATCTGTCTTCCAAGTTTGCCACATCATTCTCTCACTCACTCTCTCTGTTTTTGTTCATTTTTATTTCCTTTTTTTTAAAAGAAAAAGACTAACTGTAAAGCTCTTTCCACTTTCCACACACTCGATACTTCATGGGGAGAAAAAAAATGGTTCAATGCCATGCCTTACAGCAGTGGTTCCCAACCCTGGGCAACCCAGGTCTTCTTGGACTACACTTCCCAGAAGCCTTCGCCACCAGTTGTGCTACTTGAGGTTTCTGGGAGTTGTAGTCCAAGAACACCTGGGTTACTCAAGGATGAGAACCACTGCCGTACAGCGTGTTCAGATACAGCAGTGGGTGTGCCCTGTCCCATGCACTGAATGCCACAGGATGCAGGGCAAGAGTGTTGGAGGCCAAAGGAAGCGGAGAAATGGTGGACTAACATACAACACCCCCTTGGAGGCCAAAGAAATGGAGAAATGGTGGACTAACATACAACACCCTCAGATACTGTATTGTTTCTATGAACTTCTTAAAAGCAAAAAGTTTGGAACCAACAGTAGTGACATGCTTGTCTCTCAGCTAGGGTGCACTTTGTCTCCTTCTCTCTTTCTGGTACAAACAGGGTCGGAGTGCAACCTGTACAGCGCAGCGTTTCTTTCCCTCTCAGCTAGGGTGCACTTTGTCTCCTCTCTTTCTGGTACAAACAGGGTCGGGGTGCAACCTGTACAGCGCAGCGTTTCTTTCACCATTTTTTCCTGATGGTCTTGTTTTGTTTCTCTCCCCCTGCCCACGTAATGATCCCTCCCCACAGTTCTGGACTTTACAATTGAAGCAGAAAATGATCGGCGGCGTTCAGGTTTGCCGTCCAGGGTGTACTTTTCTAGGCGCTCCTCCGATCAGTTGCTCGGAAGTGTGACCCTCACTGGGCAGAAGAAGAAAGAGTGTGTGATCACCACCCTCGTGCTGCAGGTAGGCTGAGGCAGAGCAACCCCAGGGCCTGGCTCTCCTGACGTTGTTCCATTGGGTAACTTTGACTGCACCTGAGGTTAACTTGTTGATGCATTCAAGTCAGTGCTTAGCTATGAGGCCTATTGGATGTTGCTTTCTGGTTTCGTTGAACCTACTGCGCAGGGTTTTTTTGAGGATAGAGAAGGGAGCTGTTCATGTTCCTCACAGAAGCATACATATGGGGACACACATATAGGGACCAAAAGAGAGAGGCTGAAAGGCAAGGGGAGGTTCTGTAGGTTTGTGGGCGGCAAAGCAAGAGGCCTGCACTCGTGCGTGCTTCTCTGGCAGAGAGAGAGAAAGCAGAAACATCCTGAAGTATTGAGGGAAGGTGGCCGCTGGGTGCACGATGCGGTTAACAATGTTGTCATAGACCTAGCTTGTGACAGAAGAGTCAGTCGTTGTTTACTGTCAGAATTGCTTTGTGGGTTTGTTCTATCTTTTGCCACACTCTGGGAAGCAACACTGGCATCTAATTGTTTCTACTTTGCATCTGTCTGTCTGTGTGTGTATCTGTCTGTCTGTCTGTCTAAATAATAATTGAGTGCCATCAAATCAGTTCTGACTTATGGTGACCCTTTTCAGCGTGTTCTAAATAGAGAGTACTCAGAGGTGGCTTCCCATTCCCTTCTTCTGGGGGTGGGGCTGGGGGGCTGGGACGGTGCAGCTGGCATTTCTCCCCAGAGGCACAGTGGGGGGATTGAATTTCCAACCTCTCATTCTGCAACCAGATGCCTAATTCATTGAGCTATCCAGCCAGCTATCTCTCTATTAGGTATATCTATTGTACATCTATAGATACAGATGTGTCTGTGGGTGGAGTAGATATTACCTCAAGATGGTGAGCAAAGCTTTCCTCTGCAATTTGTCTTGAAGTAAGAGACAGGCTGAGGAACAGAAGGGGAGAGAGAGAGAAAGGGAGAGGCATAAGGAGTGTAAATAGAAATTTCTCAACCTCTGAATCCTTATGGAGAGGCCCTGCACAGGCTAGGGTTGCGTGTTACTTTTGCTACTGAAATCAGCAGCTTTCCTTCTCTCCACTTCCATGGACAACAGCAGTCCTCCTGTAAATCAGGATCAGCCCAGAAGGAGCCTTGCCCCAGCCAATGGCTGCCATGTTATATCATGGCCCTAATTCACATTAAGGCTGAGAGAGTGTGTAAAGAACAGGGATGTAACAAAACTATTTCTCCTCTGAGATATAAATCTTGTGTTATACACCTAGTATAATGTGTACTGACATTCAGACGAGCTTTACTTCAGACGAGCCAACTTTGAAGCGTAACTGGAATTGTTGTCTCTGACTTAAATGCTTGTTTGCCTCAACATACTGGTGCTGGAAACAGGCACATTGCCACAGTGGTCCCATTAACATCCCATTTTCTCATGCCGTTATGGAAGCTGGGAATGTCCCAGATTACAAATTTTGACTTGGTCACTTGCAGCAGGCCAAGCGTCTGGTTGCTTGTTAGCAAATGCTGCAGGTTTTTATTTCACTTATTCATTAGAATTTCCTCCTCCTTTGTATTCCTTAGGAAAAGATCAAAGATAAACTGCGCCCAATTCCTGTAACGGTGGGTGTTACAATCAATGGCTCAAACTCTACCTCACCAGCGTCTAGGAGAAGGCAAGGACGATCACTCCCAGAACTGGTTCCAATTCTGAATTCAAATGAGCCCAGAACAGTTCATTCAGAAGTAAGTGACTTTTGCATTGCGCTTAGCCTTTTTAATCTGTATATCTATTCCAAATGGATTATTTTGTGCTGCAAAATGTTTGGGTAGCACATGGAGAGAGGAAAGATGATCTGAACACCAGCTTCTTCTAAGTCCTATCTGCTCAAGCCCTTTGTCATTTGGATATCGATGTTCTGTGCATTGCTTGTTACAAGGACTGGGGTGGCACCACAGCGTTTCAGAAATTCCTTCAACTGGGAACAAAAAGTTTCCAACTTCCTAACAAATATTCTCATCTCCTTGTGAAATTGTGGAGAGGGAGAGTAGAAAGCAGGGCTATGCCATGCCATCCTGGCCAACTGGCTGGGGAATTTGGGGAATTACAGTCCAAGGAAGTCATTACTTCAAGCTCTGGTCCACAACAGGTGGGCAGTGAAAGGCATGAGGTTGTTCCTTAACCCTAACCTGTTTCCCAGCTGGGAGAGGGCAGGAGCGGACAACGCACAGCCTTCTGGAGGTTGTTGGAGTGCAATCTCCCATCAGCTCAAACCAATACAGCCAGTGGAGAGAAATGCTGGGAACGGCTCTTTGCATGCCCTTTGGGATAGCAAAGAGTGTTGGACGGATGAGGAGTTCAGTAACTGGTCTCTACCGGAACATGTACAAAATGGGGCCTCAAGGGACTGGATCCACGTCACAGTTTTGCAGTTATCAGTTGGTATAAATTTTGCAACAGAGACGATTGTTTGTGGCAAAGAAGGCCCAGGTGTCATAGGAACTTGGCCTCGGCAGTGTTCCATTACATCTCATGATGCTTGACATCACTGCCTGATATCAAACATAATGTATAGAGATGGGCATGAACCTCAGTTCGGAGGTTCGTGCTGGTTCATACGCGCAGGTGCTGCCCTTTTCCTTCTCCCACCTCCCTGGCTGGATCCCCCCACTCACTGGCCATCACACGCTCCTCTTTTCTTCCTCTTCGGCTGTTCAACCAGCCCCACCTTCTTGGCTGATCATGCACTCAGATGAGGAGGCAGGACAGACAAACCCATGCTCCTGAGGCGGCAGGACAGACAAACCCATGCTCCTGCCGGCGACTGGCTGAACAGTTGAAGAGGAGAGGAGTGCGCTGGTGAGTGGCGCATTGCCCCGGGGAGGAAGAGGAAAGGAATGTGCAGTATCTGTGGTGCCGCACACATGAACCAGCAGGAACCTCTGAACCAAGGTTTGTGCCCATTTTCCTGGTGAATGGGGCATTGCCCGGGGGGGCAGAGGAAAGGAATGTGCAGTACCTGTGGTGCTGCACACATGAACCGGCAGGAACCTCTGAACCAAGGTTCGTGCCCATTTCTAACAATGTATAACAGAAAACAGGGAAAACAAACAAACAAAAGTATGGTGTCTCCTTAGAGGTTAACAGCTTTATTTCACTGTGAGCTTTCCTGGATCATAATCCCTCGCCTCAGACATACGATGCGGGATATTTAGCCACAAGTTTGAATGTGCTTGGATTCATCTTCACTGAGGTCTCTCTGCAACAGGGTGTGCTCAAGTATAAGCCTGTGTCTATGAATATTTTCACTCCATGGGTCTGAGAGGAAATGGAAAGCTCACACTGAAGTTGATCTCTTAAACGTTTTTTAATTTTCGCTTTCGCTCTGCATATGAAACTGTGTGGGCTACTTCTTGGAAAATGTCTTACTGAATGAAGTGCTTCTAAGCCGCCTGCTTGACTTGGGCTGTTTGTAGGTCCAGTTCCTGAAAGAAGGCTGTGGGGTAGACAACAAATGCCACAGTAATCTGAAGCTCCATTACAGATTTTGCACCAAGGAAGGCAGTGAGGACAAATTTGCTTATTTCCCAATGTAAGTCTCTGATGAATGCTGGAAAAAGACATTGCTTTTGTTCCTTTGTGGGCCCTTTGGTCCCATCAGCCTCTAAAATGATGACGGGATTCTGTTTTGTTAGAGAGAACAACGTTCCCGTTCTTGTCCTCAAAGACCAGAAGGACATCGCCCTGGAAATCACCGTGACAAACAGTCCGTCAGATCCAAGAGACCCACAGAAAGATGGGGAAGATGCTTATGAAGCTAAATTTATTGCCACCTTCCCAGATAGCCTGACTTACTCTGCTTTCAGGGAGTACAAGGGCTTTCCAGTAAGTTTCTTCTTGATGACAATGCCATTCAGAGACCTCATTTCCTGGGATTTCTTACTAAACGATGTGTCTTTCTTAATCTAGGAAAAACAGCTGATCTGCGGGGCTAATCCAAATGGCTCTCAAGTGGAGTGTGAGCTTGGGAATCCTTTCAAGAGAAATTCTAATGTGAGCTGCTTCTCTTTTAGACCTAATGCTGGATGTTTGTGGGAAGAACCCTGGCCAAGTGGTTTAGTGTGGTCTCTCACACCCTAGAGTAGGCCCACCTGAATCGATGGAATTCAGGAAGGTGGATCCCTGCCAATTCAGTAGGCCTACTCTAGTGCAACCTATTACACTTGGCAACAGAATTTCAGCTGGTGTTACTTAAACCTCTCGGGGCTGGTGCAGAGCCTCCCAACGCTAAAATTAAGATTGGGATGTATTTCACTCTCCTATCCTGCATGAGTTTAACCTAAAATTGTAAATAAGCGAGTACTGCTGTCTTGGTACCATCCCTCTGAATGCCTGGCCCAGGCCTCTGGCATGGTTAGGTAAGATGTACTGGGACCATTGTCAGTGCTTCCATTTTTGTTTAATTTTAAGGCAGGTGCCATTACTGACAAGAGAAGCATCACCAATAAGAGAAAAAGTGGAAGCCCCGAGCAATGTCCACACAATTAGTTCCTCCAGCTGAACAGACACAAGCAATCTAAGTGTCTTACTCTCCCAGGAAAAGAGCGGCATTCCATTGCTGGGAGGAGCTGTTCAAAGCCATTGTTGGGGAGGTAGTTGGTTGGCTGGTGCGTGAGAATGAATTGATGGGGCAGCGGCTTGGGGAACATCATCCCACCCTAGAGAGTTGAGACCCACCAAGGGGTGGTGGGCATGCACTGCTCAACCACGACATGAAGACTTGTGTCTTTCTTTAGACTCTGGAACACCTTCCCAAATGATAACCTGATATTTCTGGACTACGGTCCCCATATTCCCCAGTCAGCATGTCTCTCTGGATAATGAGAATCATGGCCCAGTATCTCGTGGGGAGCATCAGGTATAGGGGGGCTGCTTTAGGGCAACTGTTCATAGAACTCATCTACTGAGAACAGCATCATATCAGAAATGATCGGAGGAGACCCCGATGTGCATTGCTGTGTAGTCACAATAGAACTCATGACAAATAAGACCAAAAAAAATAATCAAGTGCCGGAACACTTAAAGCCCTAGTTGATTCTGATGTTAATGAGCACTGTCACTTTGTAGCATCTCTTTGTGGCACTATCACAGTATATTAACAGAATTTTGCCATGTGGGAGGTGGTGTTTATGTGCCGTCAAGTTGCAAACTGGTCTTTGGATGTATGTGACGTGTTCAAAAAGCAGTTTACCATTGTCATCTCTGTAGTTGTGCATGGATTTGAACTCAGGTCTCTTATTATTTATTTATGTATATGCCACCTTTCTCCTAAAGGATCCAAAGTGGATTCCAGTATTAAAAGAAATAAAGTTAAAAGCTAAATAATAAATTATTACAATATTTAAAAAGCATTAATTAGATATCACATTAAAGTCATAATAAGAACAATATTAAAAACACAAGTAAAACAACAGAATAAAACAACCTCTTTAAATAATCCCTAGTCCACCACTCTATCCGTCTTGTAAGAGTTAGGTCTGTAATATCTCTTACATCACTCTTCATTTCTTCCCGATTCAGGTTACGTTTTATGTGATTTTAAGTACAACTAAAGTTAATGTTGACACAAGGGACCTGAACATTAGCCTGAAATTGGAAACGTAAGATTTGTTTATTTTATTTTTGAAAATTGTATTGTTACCTTTCCTAATGCTTGCAAATATTCTGAAAAGGCTGTAATTTGATTGGGAAAGCAACATCAAAACAGTTAAAAGATTTTTTTTTAATTATTCTTTGTTTCCTTTTTCTTGCAGAACAAGCAATCAAGTTAATTTGGATCCAATTACTGCTCATGCCAAAGTATTTATTGAACTGCTTTTGTCACTCACAGGGTAAGTATCATAGTTAGCATAACAAATCGATGCAAGACAATCCTTTATAATGGCCATTAAATTGCTGTGCTGTTTCTTTGAACAACAGGATTGCCAAGCCTTCCCAGGTCTACTTCGGAGGTCAAGTCATTGGCGAAAGTGCTATGAAATCTGAAGATGACATTGGAAGCTTAATTGAATATGAGTTCAGAGTAAGTTCTGTTGTCAGTATTCAAATAATCTTATAGTTTCAGGCCTGAATCTTTCAAAGGTTGGTCTTGTTATTTACCTTGTAAGAGTATCTCTTAAAAACAGGCTAGCTTTTCTTTCAGTAAGAGTGACAAAGAAGTAGACCTTCAATAGGGAGGTCCTTACCTTTTGTCTTTTTTTCAAAATGTGCTTTTAAATTGTTTCAAACTGTTTTGTTCTGTAGTTTTACTGTGTAATATGCTTGGTTGTTTTTTGGGTTTTTTAAAAATATTGCAAACTATTCTATTCTTTAGTGTCTTAACATTCATCTTTTAAACATGATGTAAGCTGCCTTTGGTCCCTTTATTGGGAAAAAAGCTCAGATACAAAAAGAACGAACGAACGAATCAATCAAAATCTGTGCAAGCTTTTGACAACTTCCCGCCTTCTTTAAGCAAAATGTTGCAAAAATCAATTGGCAGAGGTGGAGGGATGCCTCATCATGTCGTTTTAAGATATAATGGGAAGGAAGGGCCTGCAGACTCACAAAGAAGAGTAGAATTAGGTTTCATGCTGAGTGGCCCCTTGAAAAGCCTGGGGAAAAATAATGAAAGGCAATAAAGTTTTATTCTTCATTTTGACTAGCATCCTTTTGCTAACCTCAACTACACAGTAGAGCCGTTGAATCAATTACTTACTGGCAAGTCAAGACCTACATAGATTCCACTGAGTCAATGGAGCTGCTGTAGTTGAGACTAGTAATTGGATACTGGTCTTTGAAAATAAGCAGCTACCCTGTAAAGTTGTCTATAATCAATGCTCAGCGTACATAAGAGCAGAGAACCACTATGTAGGCGACAAAGAAAGCCAGCCACCTTTGGTCTTAAGACATTGGTCCCTGCTTTTTCAAAAAGCAACCTATGTTCACTGGTTATATGTGCATAGATATGTGTGAACACATAACTGCTCTGTGCACAATGGCAAGCACTGAATAGTGGCACTGTGGAACTTTAAATGTACAGCGGTGCCTCAACTTATCACCTTAATCCATTCCAGAATGATGGTCCTAATTCGAAATGGTCGTAAGTCGAAGCACCATTTCCCATAGGAATGCATTGGAACGCGATTAATCTGTTTCAGGTGGGGGGGGAATTACCTACCCCCCAAAAAAACATTGCAAACCCCATTGGAACGTGTCAGGGCCGGAAAGAAAAATCACCAAACCCACCCACCCACCGCTCTGTGCACAATGGCAAGCACTGAACAGTGGCACTGTGGAACTTTAAATGTACAGCGGTGCCTCAACTTACCACCTTAATCCATTCCAGAATGATGGTCCTAATTCGAAATGGTCGTAAGTCGAAGCACCATTTCCCATAGGAATGCATTGGAACGCGATTAATCTGTTTCAGGTGGGGGGGGAATTACCTACCCCCCAAAAAAACATTGCAAACCCCATTGGAACGTGTCAGGGCCGGAAAGAAAAATCACCAAACCCACCCACCCCCAAATGCAAGCCCATCAGAACATGTTGGGGCCGAAACAAAATATCACCAACCCTCCCCCCCAAAAAAACCCACAAGCCCCATCAGAATGCACTGAGAGCAAAAAACAAATGCGCCAACCCCCCCCCAAAAAAAACAAAAAAGCAAGTCCCGTTGGAATGCTCTGGGGCTGGACAAAAATCACCAAAACCCAAATAAATAGTGCAAGCAAGCCCCATTGGAACGCACTGGGGCTGAAAAACAAACACACAAAAAAACAAACAAAAAAAACCTCACAAAAAACAATGCAAGCCCCATTGGAAGGTGCTGGGGCAAAAACAAAACAAAAAAACCAAACACACCAAAAAACAGCACAGCACAGAAACAACCCCCCAGCTCAAACCCACCCTGCAAAACCCTGTAAATGTACTTATTCAGAAGCAGAAAACAGCACCTGGCAGTCCCAAGCCTCCTCCAATCACACTCACTCTAACCGTTGGAGCAAAAGAGCTACAAAGAAGCAGCCTCTTTGTTTATCAACAGTTAGTACATTTGAATTCTCCGCCTTTCCCCCCACCTTTTTTTCTGATTGGAACTCGAAGCTCCACGCGCAAGTTGAAGCAAAATTTTGAAGCCGGAGCTGGTCGTAACTCGAAATAGTTGTAAGTCGGGACACCCCTGTAGATGAAAAGATAGTCAGAACTAGATATAGACAAGTCCAGTCTGTTCTTAATCCTTTGACACTTATGACCAGACTGTAATAATAATCTACTGTACTTAGATAGGTTTCCTTTTAGAAGAATAGCATTTACGGAGATGCTGGGGGGGGGGGACTCTGTGTAACTAAACAGTTAAATACAGTACTGAAGAAAAGACTACTGTACTAGTATTGTTTATTTATTTTTTTGTTCCTGAATGGCAGTGTTTACAGTTTAACCTTGTCAAGATCTGCTCTGTGGCCTTCAGGATCTCAAATTCCCCCCCATGTTTTCAGTCTCACTTGATTTTTCTAAATACCATCACAAATGTTTGAAATCTGTTGGCACTGCAAGCAGAGATCCCGCATTGTATTGTCACATTGTCATGATCCTCATATGCTTGATAGCTCAGTGGTTTAAGCACCTGGATGCGGAACCAGAGGTTGGGAGCTCAGGTCCCCACTGTGCCCTTGATGATCCATAGAGTCCCTTCCAGCTCTACAGTTCCTCTTCTTACTATTAAAGGAAATTGCATAGATTTATACTAAAATTGAAATGGCTGCTTATTATCTTAAAATTTTTTTACTATCTCTCAAGATGTGTCTGTGGCAAGGGTGGATGACTTCATTGAGACTGGGGGCTGATTATATGTCTCTGGGACCCTCAGGAGCCCCAGTGGACTACCTAAAATGCAGGGCCTCGAAAAAAAGAGAGAAGAACCAAACAAAGTAGCTAGAAAATTTCCCTGCAATCCCCCATCGAAATACTGAGCCCGCCTGGCCCTGCTTAGATTTCCAAATGTCAGTGCATTCAGAGTGATGTGGTGGTAAATAAAAGCCCTATGGTATGGGGAAGTGCATATGTTGTGTGCATTGTAAAATGCCTGTCTTTCCAACGAAATTCTCCCTGACAGATCACCAACTTGGGCAAATCCCTGAAAACATTTGGTACGGCTTCCTTGGACATCCTTTGGCCGAAGGAACTCATGGGAGGCAAGTGGCTGCTGTATTTAGTGTCCGTACACTCGAAAGAATTAGGAGAACTCCAGTGTGACCCTCCCCAGGAAATAAACCCTTTGAATCTTGAGGTAAATGAACACAGTCTGCCTTTGTAAATAGAACTGCCGAGCACTTGCCCAGGGGTGTTTTGTTTTAAAAGGAAGACTTTTGGATGTCCAAACTGGAGAGCTTTTTGCATACAGAATGCAACAAGTGTAGGCTTTTACTCTGTCCTCTTGGCAGCAGATTTAGTACAGTGGTGCCCCGCATAGTGACGATAATCCGTGCAGCAAAAATCGTCGCTATGTGGATTTGTCGCTATGCCAAATTAAAAAGCCCATAGGAATGCATTGAACCCCCTTCAATGCGTTCCTATGGGCTTAAAGCTTACCTTTTAAGCGAAAATCCTCCATACGGCGGCCATTTTAGCTGCCCCGTAAGCGAATCCGTCCCTGTTTTACCCGGTGGCCATTTTGGAACCGCCGATCAGCTGGGGAAAAATCATCGCTATGCGAAAATCGGTAAGCGAAACAGCTTACCGATCATCGCAAAGCATTTTTCCCCCATAGGAAACATCGTTATGTGATTGCAAAAGCGATCGCAAAAACATCGTTGCTATGCGGATTCGTCGTTAAACGGGGCGTCCGTTATGCGAGGCACCACTGTGTATCCTGAGGAAGGCTTTAGGTAGGTTCCACGGTTGCAGGAATATATTGCATGTAATACGTGTGAACAGGGGGCGGGGGGAAATCTATGTCATTATCTCTGTGCAGTCATAGACAAATGTGAGCCTAGGATCAATTTCATATAGAGAACTAAACTGGTGTTTCAACCTTCTTTCAACCTAGGCAACGGACAAAGGTCTGCAATCACAACGAGGGCAGGAGATGAGTGTAGAAAGTGGGAGACCGAGCTGAGTGGCATATGCACACCTTTGTCCTTCAAGAGAAGAAAATGGACCAGGGATCTGAGGGGGAAAAGCTGAGGAGCGCGAGGAGCTCAGCTCTTGCGACTCCTGGTATCTGCCATTGAAAGCAATTGGCTCACTCTGCTTAATAGGAGGGCCAGCCCTACATGTAGGAATCCTGGTGATGCTATTGTAGTTGTGGACTCCAGAATTTTGAGATGCCTGTTCATTGGTTCAGAATTTTGGTACTTCTGCAACCCTTGCTCCAAGGACACGTGTATGTTAATATTTTACTTGCTTTGTTGGCACACCTTTTGTTCATCAGTATGCCTTGTTCATTTTTATAGTTGTCTCGAAGTTCAAGGACAAAACGTGAAGTTGCAGAGAAACAGACAACGGGAGGCTACAGTTTGCCATTGATTTCAGAAAGGAAGTATAAGACTTTGGTAAGTACGTACTTACTTTAAATACAGTGGACCCTTGACTTACAGACTTTTTGAGTTACAGACTTCTCTGGCCGCAAAATTTAGGTTTGACTTGCAGCCTGAGAATTGACTTACAGACCAGAAAAAACCAAAATGGAACAAAAACGGCCTGTTACGGGATTAATCGGTTTTCAATGCACTGTAGGTCAATGGAGACTTGACTTACAGACTTTTTGACTTGAGAACCGCCTTCCAATAAAAAACAGTATGATTTTTTTACCCTTGATCTGCTCCTGTAGAATTCCAGGCTATACCAGAAGGCTTGTATTATCGTATAAATATATTCAACTATATGACAAGATCAACTGTGTATAATTTTCTGTGGATCGCCAGGGCAAACCCAGGTCCACTGACGGTTGCTGTCAGCATTTAGAAAGTTATTTATTTAAAGTTCAGCTCCAGTCAGTACGGCTAAGTGTTAACACATTGAGAGATTCTTCTAATCTTAAAAGGCAATTTTTTTCTGTACTCTGGCCTAGTTGACTGCTCTCCTGCTGGAATAAGTAGCATTTATTTATTTATTTATTTATTTATTTATTTATTTATTTATTTATTTATTTATTTATTTATTTATTTATTTGATTTATATCCCGCCCATCTGGTATATTATACCACTCTGGGCGGCTAGTGGGGCGGGGAGCAAGCTGAGCAAAGGAACTCAATATGGGGGGGGGTGGCATATGAGAACTGCCTCCTCCCTTCTCCTCTGCTCATGTGGCCCACAGTTTGGATTCTCTTTTGTACCTTAGCGTTGTGGTATAAACAGATTTCCCAAAACGTTGCTTTGGGTCCTCTTATGGCTGCAGACGGTGCATTTGGGGGAAACACATCAAACGTCTACTTTCAGACATTCAATTCTGAAACCTTTCTCTCTCATTTTATGTAGGAATGCAATGTGGAAGCCAACTGTGTCAGGATAAGATGCCCCTTGCAAGGCTTGGACAACAAAGCATTGGTAGTGTTGCGTTCCAGATTGTGGAATAGCACTTTCCTAGAGGTAATGTCTGCGTGCCTTTTGCATATAGATTTGGATCAGCTCCTTTTATCTGTTCTAACCAGTGTATATCTTCTTCCTGTTTTCCTACTCTACTCGCCAGGAATTCTCCAAAATGAACTATCTAGACATTCCCCTGAAAGCTACCATCAGCATTGATGATGCTGCAGATAATATTAAGCTGTCAAATGAAGCGCCCAACGTGAGTCTCTAACATTTCTTTAATGATGATGGATCCATGTCTCATGAAATGGAAAGCATATTTTTGTACAAGGAGGACCCAAGAAAGTCCAAGCTTAAGAATACTTCATTTCTTCCCAGTGGTTGATCACCCCACCTTCATATGCTAGGATTTCCTTGTTCTTTGCGTTGATGTGCAAAGAGACTCAGCAGTACAATTTCTGTGAGACAGGCCCCACAGTACCTTGCTGGAGAGAACTGGCAAATGGTTTAAATTAGGGTAGGTCACTTCGAGAGGTCTAGAGGCCAAACACACCTATCTCTGGACCTTGAACGGCCAGATCTCTTGACTCCTGCCCCCTCAAAATTTTTTAATGAAAATGTGGGTTTTTAAACAATTGAAATGTGCCCACAAGGGCCAAAAATGATTTTCAAATGAATAATTGAGAGGGGGCAGAGGTACTGGGGACCCTCCCCCCAAAAAAAAGGCAAAATGGTCTCCTGCAACCCCTAGAGCAGTGGTCCCCAACCTTGGGCCTCCAGATGTTCTTGAACGACATCTCCCAGAAGCCTGCACCACCACCTCTGCTGGCCAGGATTTCTGGGAGTCGAAGTCCAAGAACATCTGGAGGCCCAAGGTTGGGGACCACTGCTCTAGGGCAGTGGTCCTCAACGTTGGGCCTCCAGATGTTCTTGAACGACATCTCCCAGAAGCCTGCACCACCACCTCTGCTGGCCAGGATTTCTGGGAGTCGAAGTCCAAGAACATCTGGAGGCCCAAGGTTGGGGACCATTACCCTAGAGGATACAAGGGAATTTTCTGAGCAAAATGCTTTTTCATAGAATTACGAAGTTGCAAGGGGGTCTATAAGGCCATCAAGTCCAACCCAGGAATACAAAGCAAAGGATATCTGCCAGAGGTGGTTGTCTAAATTTCTCCTGAATGGCTCCAGTGTTGGAGCGCTCACCACCTCTCGAGGTCATTGGCTCCACTGTTCTACTGCTCTAACAGTTAGGAATTTTTTCCTGATAGTCAGCCGAAATCTGGCTTCCTGTAACTTGTGCCCATTGTTGCGTGTCCTCCAAATAAAATAAATCAGGGTGAGTGCTGGGCTCTTAGAGGGATGCATGCTGCTCGCCCCCGATTTAAATGGAGGCCAAATAGCTATGCTGAGTTGAAAACCAGAACATGGCTGCTGCTTGTATGTTTCCATCCTGCCTTTCCTCAGGGCAGTGTACCTTGGTTCTCGTAAATATTTGCCCAGCATGAAGAAGTGTGCATGGGGACACAGGATGAAGATATTATTATTTTTAGATGTGAATGAGAAATTGTCTGAAAATAAGTAGAGTTTAACCTGCTTGAACTTCTATTGTTCAAAGGCAACCTTTCCCAATCTTGCGCCCTCCAGTTTAGTTGAACTGAAGTGCTAATCACCACTAGCCAGCAGTACCAGTGGCCCTAATGGATGGGGTTGGTGGGAGTTGTAGTCCAGTGGATATGGGGAACACTGTGCAAAGGACTTTAACTTGGGTATAAATTTGATGTTTGCTCACGTGAAAATGGTCTTCTCCAGTAACATCTCTGTATTCCCTTGTTCTCCTGTAGGTGCGGGTTACTGTCTTCCCTGCCAAGACAGTGGCATTGTATAAAGGGGTGCCTTGGTGGATCATTTTGGTAGCTATACTTGCAGGATTGCTAATGCTTGCTCTGCTGGTGTTTTTACTATGGAAAGTGAGTTATCTGGCTAATATGCGGTTTTCTTATTTGTTCACAAAAGTATTTGAAATGTGAAGTCTTACCTTTCCATACTGGTTTGAAAGTTAAGCTCAAAAGAGGTCATGATAGGGAAATATGTTTCCTTGCTCCTTTGAGATGTTCAGCAGAACAAAGTACATGATGAAGAAAATAATGGAGGGAATTTGCTTTAAAATCATTATTTTTAAAACCTCATTTGCATTTTTTTAAAAAATAAAACGTATCTTTGAGAAAGGGAAGTAACTTAGGATAACATTTGTTTCTGGGTGAATGAAGACAGAATAGCACTGGGAGAATTCTTAAGAGTCCTACAGAAATCCTTTATGCAGAAGCACTTTCTAACAGCTTTTAATCAGGCAGTTTTCAATAAGGAATTGAAACCAAATGTATTCAGGCGAGACACAATGCCGTTTCATGTATTTCATGCACAGCAAAGATTTGAGTCAGTAGTACAGTGGGTTTGGGCATTGCAAAAGTAGAGAAAACAAGCATTATATGATTTCAAGTGTGCCATTCTCATGTACTGAGCATTTTTGTAATATAATATAAAATGTGCTGATAGCTAATGCGCAGTACTGTACATAATTGAAGCACTGAGCAAAATAATCAGCGATGGTTAATTCCTGGTATAAGTTGGCTTTAAGGCTATTGCACAGTTGTCAGGACAACATTTTTAAAGGCACACACAAAGCAGTCTGGAAAGGTTATCAGAGATGACATAATCTGAAGAATATTTTTCATTGTACATGCAAAGATTATCTAGTTCATCCTTTTCTTTTTTGTTTTTCACACTAGTACATGATACTGACTAAATGCCTTGCTTCCTTGTAGTGTGGTTTCTTCAAGAGAAATAAGAAAGATCATTATGATGCTACATATCACAAGGCTGAGATCCATGCTCAGCCATCTGATAAAGAGAGGCTTACTTCTGATGCGTAGCATTGATCTACGTCTGTAATTGGTAATTGATCAGGTTTTTTTGTATTTGTTAGCTGTGGAACATGCCTTTGGTTGCGGTGGCTAACGACTGGAAGCTTGCTGCATCTCTTCCATTAATTGCCTCGTTTTCAAAATACCAATTTTTGCTTGCTTGCATTGTTTATAATACTCCCCTTTCTCAGTGCATGGGGACACAAATCCTTTTATCAGTGGCTTTTTAACTGCTGTCTACTTGTGTGTTCTTCCTTGAGGGTCTGAAGGCTTTGCACTTAAGGCTGTCAATTCTGAACCTCAACTTAAAGGCTTGTGAGTGAGAAGACAGAATGTGCCAACCCACATCCCTTTCCCCCTTTCTTTCGCTATGGAGAAAGAAAGAACCCCATGCTAAGCTGAGCTAATGGATTTCCAACTCTATTCCTGGGCTCATTTCCTCAGTGAAAATATCAATTAAAATCAGAGCAGCATTCTTGAAAGACTGCTTCCGAACCTTTGCTTTGAAAACCTTTGCAGGAAAAAAATGAAGTGTGTCTTAGAGTAGGCATGGGCAGAAAGTACATTTGGATTTACTGGTAGATCTCTGATAACGAAGCAGTTCAGCAAGGGTTTCTGATCTCAAATGGTTTAACAGTAGTGAGGGCAACAACGCTCTCTTAGGTTGTTGAAGTAAAAAATAAATAAATTCTGGGGATGTGATGGGTGTAGCTTTATTAACGAGTTCCAGTTCTGTGGTGAAATAAACTCCTGGGTGGAGCACAGGCTCAGAGAGAACTCCTTCCATAATTCTGTGTTCTCCTCAAATTCATACCTGACTCCAGCTGGTGGGCCTCAGGGTTCTAGTGAAAGACCAAGTAGACCCCATAAGCTTGAATTCTGCCTAGACTAAGCTCTCCTGTCCAGAGTTTGTATTCAGAGAAACCCATTTCCAGAAGAAGTGTTCCTTCAAGTGGCAAAAAAAGTGTAATTGTAAAAGAAAAATTTAAAAAAGGGAAAACGTACATGTCATCAGGTTAATCTCTGTCCTATGAACAAGAAGTTCCTTTGCATGGCTAATTCAGAGTCATGCATAACAAAGTAAATCATGTAGCTGGGAAGGAACTGGAGCAAAGAAGACTCATTTCTGCAAACATAATGTTGTGGCTCTTAACCCATGTGGATCTGGACAGAATTAGCCTGTAACTGATATGAGCCTGGCACAGGATCCAGTGTGCAGACCCTCAGAGAGATGGTGACATGGAAAGTGTTCCCTGGAGTGGGAATACGGAGCAAAGATACTGTTCCATAGCAAACCATGAGAAGCCTTGCCATCTCTCACCTAGATACGTGAGCATTTCTATAGGCAAAGCTTAAATAGTATTTGAGACTCTCTTGCGCTACTCATTTGAATGACAGTGGATAATATCAAAGGAGGGAAGTATCTGAATATGGAATATGAACTGTTTTAGCTTAGCTTTTGTGCTGCAAACCTGATGCACAGACCTTATTAGACCTTATTTGCAGTCTCGAAAACATGTTCCTTGTTCTCACACAAATAGTTGGTGAAACTATTAATTTAACAGTCTGATGAATTTAAGCCTTTACAGTAGTGCCTCGCTTAGCGATTGCCTCGTTTAACAATGTATTCGCTTAGCGATGAGGTTTTTGGAGCGATTTTGTGCTCCATTTAGCGATGTTTCCAGTGGGGAAATTTTGCATAGCGATGTTCGGGATTTGCTTCGCTTAGCGATAACAGTTTAACAATGTCCGTTTTCGCTATTTTAAATGTGTCTTAAAATGTTCAAAAACTGTTTAAAATGCTTGGAATCGTTAGTGCACCTTGTAAAACCTTTGCAAACTTAATTTGGTTTTGTTCTGAGTCTTTGTTAATTTTTGGTGAATTTTCTTCTCTCCCATTGGAATGCATCGAACTGTAGGTTTGACAGCTGTCAAACCTACAGTTCAATGCATTCCAATGGGCAGGGGAATTCACCAAAAATTAACGAAGACTCAGTACAAAGCCAAATTAAGTTTGCAAAGGTTTTACAAGGTGCACTAACGATTCCAAGCATTTTAAACAGTTTTTGAACATTTTAACACTCTAAAAATAACGAAAATGGACCTGTCAAAACCATTGAAATGCATTGAAACCTATTCAATGCATTCCAATGGGGGAACTGCGTTTCACTTGGCGATGTTTCCTATGGCGATTTTCGCTTAAGGACGGTAATCTGTTCCCATTGGAATGGATTATCCGGTTTTCAATGCATCTCTATGGGAAAACGCATTTCGCTTAGTGATGTTTTCCCATAGCAATGGTTTTTTTAAAACCAATTAAAATCGTTAAGCGAGACACCACTGTATATGGGTTCTCCCAATATTAGAGGTCATCCCATGTTGCTGGGCATGTGGGTAAACAAACAGACAAAATCCATTTTACACGCTATTATTAAATTCCCATTTAAAGTTTTTAATTACACCATGGATCCAATGGGACACAGTGCTTCAGCTGCAGGCTTGGGGGTCTTCTCTGCCAAACTCAAGGAGGTTGGTCATATACATACACATCTATATACACCTTATGCTTCAGAATATATAAGCAGTTCCTCTGCCCAGAGCTTGAATACCTTCATTAACTGCTCATGCATGCAAAAAGCCTGGATTGTTGTTACACTCTACACTCTTACATGGTAGGAAAACATTCATGAATCTTAGTTTCTGCGGGGAGTTTACTGGGAAAGTTTCCATCTTATTTTTCCTGTACTTCAATACGCATTTCTCCTCTCAAGCTTGCCAACTGCATGATACCTTGCACTCCTGCCAAATCTAGGCTCGCAGATGTAAAAATGTACATTGGTTTGCTGGATTGACTACTTGCTTTAGCCGTTACGCCTGAAGAATGTGAAATGTTACAGATAAGAGGACGAGCCATCCTCAGACAAATCACAGAGCCACTTGGGTGTCCAGATATACATGGGACAAAGTTGAAGAACACGTGGATACGGTGCATATAAGTTAAATAAAATAAATAAATAAATAAATATAGTGGGGCATTTGTCACAGGCCCCTGTACCCATTTGTCTGCTGGCTTGTTTTCATGATTAGCGAGGGTGCTAATACAGGGTATGATTCTAAAATCGGTAACTTCACCTTAATCCTGACTACACAGGAAGGATGCCTGTGTTAACTTGCGGAGGTAGATGAATAGAATTGTTTTCTGGCTTTACTGTTTGCTGCATCAGGGGTTTGGGGTCTTGCATCTTCCTCACTCTTTAAATTAGGACTCTTTGCATTGATGTAAGGATATAAATGTCACTGAAATCTGGATTTTCCTCCCTTCTATAGTGTGGGTTCTTCCAGCGTTCCAGGTACGATGACAGCATCCCCCGCTACCACGCTGTAAGAATTCGGAAAGAGGAGAGGCAGATCAAAGATGGAAAAACTAAAGAGAATCATGGGAAGAAACAGTGGATCACAAAGTGGAATGAAAATGAAAGTTATTCGTAGAGGAACCCCCCCCCCCCCGACTGAAGACTCAAAGTATCTGGATTCACATGATGGACAGATGAAGACTAATGTACAGAAATGGCTGCTTTTTTTCTGTAGATACTGTTACTTTTCTATCAAAGCCTTCATCTGTTTTTCAGATCTAAATTTTAAGTCAAATCTCAAGATTCCAGTTAAAATGCAAATCGTCACTCTGGAAAAAGAGACAATAACCTGGGTCAGTTCTGAGGGACCTTTTTTTTATTTGATGAGTGAATTTTTTAAAAGATTTTTTTTTTCAACCTGCATCGCTGTCATGTTGACCAACATTTCACTCAACCCCCCCCCCCAAACCTAGAATATGTTTTTCCAAATCGCAGACATGTGGAAGCTGGAGATAATCATTTATTGGTGAGAGGCATTCCCCCACATGGTCAGAAGTTATTTCTTTATTAGGATTAAGCCATGGTGATGAAGAGAGGTTCTAGCCTCTGATGGACTGTGGCTCAGATTAAAAGCTAGACTTTGTCCGTGTAATTTAAATTAGGAGTTCTTTCGGTTTTAAGGTGTGGGGGGGAAATACTCATTTGGACTTTGAGTGACTTGAAAGAGATGGTATTTTGTGTCTCCCTCCCTATTGGAAAATATTGCATGTGATCAGAAGGAAATATCTCCTGATAGATGTCAAGCTTTGATGTACTAGTTCTGGTTTTCTGACCTTGAGTGTCTTTGTGCTTTCATAAAAATGCATGGGATGGGTGTAGACAGAGTTGGTTGCATTTAGTTCCCATTTAAATAACTGGTGCTTTCAATTAAGCCATAACTAACTTACTGCACAGATTTCTGTGGGAGCTAAATTAGGCTGGATCCAATCCTCGGTGCTCAAGAACTGATGCAAAACTGCTGTGGTTTGTAAATGAATAGTGCTTACACACAGCTTTAGCTGGAACTCAAGTTCATGTGGAAGTGATTCCTCCCATTTATGGTTGTGCAGAACTACTCAGCTGTTTAAAGCTGATGTTTCTTTTAGAACTGTAACAGTCGAAGTGCAGGGAATGGGGGAAGAGTTAAAACTTGCATACCCACCCCCCATAAAAGTACTACCATTATAATACACAACGGCATGGGTTTGAGTTTTTCAGGTGAATTTCAGGTCTCTAAATCTATGAATGCCTTGTTTTAAAATTTACGTGTAGTTATAGTAGGTAAGTAGGATCTTAAATGTGCAATAGGTCAGGTTTCAATAATGTTTTAAGATTCAGTTAGTCCAAATCTGTTGCTCACACCAAATCTACAAAGGTTTGTTTTTTAAAGCTTGAATATTGGTTACACTTTTTTATGTATATACTGTAAATCATTCGTATATATTTATTTTTGCCGTGAAATAAATCTTTGTCTTTGACTAACTGTGAAGCCAAAGATTTTTATCTGAGTGTTAAAAATAGTGAGCAATAGTATATAGAAGAGTTCAGTTGTTAGTAGAGATGGGCATGAACCGGTTCGTAAAGGCGACAGCACAGGTGATGCTGCTCCCCTTTCCCTTCCCCCCCCCCGCTTCTGGCTCAAACAGCCAATCACCAAGCTGAGCTTGCTAGCTTCCTGCACCCCCCCCCATCTGATCTCCCAGGCCCAAAAACAGCTCAGGCTTCTCTGCCTTGCCCTCTTGGGCAATCAGGCGAAAAGGCTGGGCAGAGAAGTCTGTGCTCTTGCTCCTGACTGGGAGATGAGCCAAGGAGGTGATTAAAAACAAGCAAGCTTGGCCTGCTGAGTCGCTTTTTGAGCCACAAGAGATGGGGGAGGGGAGCAGCAGCACCAGTGCTGTCGCCTTGACGAACCAGGACGAACCAGTTTGTGCCCATCTCTAGTTGTTAACAGTGGAATACTATGCATGTCCAGCGAGAAATAAGTGCCATTGCATTCAGTAAGACTTACTCCCAGGTAAGTGGGTATAGTATCACAGCCTAAAATTGAACACTTTCCACCAAATGTGCCAATACTTTTGAATTTCAATGACTGAAATATTCTAGCAAAGCTATTTACATAGGTCTGATTATATCATAGGGAGGTATTGTATCTTTTAAATAACATGTGCACTAATGCATACGTACAGATGTTTTATCTATAGATGTTTTATATAACTAACTTAATGGTCAAAAAGATAAGTGTTCTGACAAGTAGGGAAAGAGGGGAGGTTTTTTAGCAATATGTTTGGAACAAGATTTAACTACTGCAGATGTTACAGCACTTGAAAGAAAACATAAGCTCCAAAATTTAATTATGGATCCGTACTGGTCCAATTTTAGACTACTGAGTAAATGTCCGAAATATCAAGTTTTAACAGTCGCATATGTTTGTGCTATTTTATGTTTTGTGACAAACATATCTGCAGTTTTTAAGCTATGTCTAAAAAATTATTGGTACTGATTAAATAAGGGTTATAAACATGCCATAATATATACTGTATATAAAATATAAACAAAACTTTTACTGTGTGGATATCTGAAAGAAGTGATGGAAATTATGCAAACCAATATACATTTACCATTACCAACCAGATGTAGTATGCCTGTTCTCCATACTAAGGATGGCCAAAGTCTGGTCAGTGGGCCCTATATAGTGCTCAGGCACATTTTAGTTCACCTGAGGAAAGCTTTTTTTAAAACCAAAATGGTCCATTTCTGCTCCTGGAGGCATTCAGGAGCAGCAGTATCTACACAGGGGCCTGGGGAAGAGGAGAGTCATCCCTTAATGCCTCTTCTCCCCAAGAACATTAACATTGGAAGTACCTATATGGGCACTTCTTTTTAGGTTGGTTTTTTTATGACTCAAAAGGCTTCTTGTGGCCCATGGAGGTAGGCTGGGGGTACAAAACTGGCCCCAAAGCTGCTTTAGCTTGCTCATTATTGCTCTGTAGATACACTACAAAAAATCATAGTGTTGTGGGAGGAAGATGGTTATCTTTTCTAAGGTTTGTTTTCTGGTTGTTAATTTAACTTTCCCTTATTTTTCAAATAAGTCTCATCTCAAATTTTATAGAAATTGTTAATTTTTTAAAAAATGTTTATGAAATATGTAAATTATCTTTTGTCAAAACTCAGTTACATTCTGGTGCCTGATACTGTAGTCCACCAAACAGTTTTGGTTTTCTGCTCCCTGGTTCATTTAAATGGGGCTGACACAGGGGCCCTGTAGTAGTAGTATTTGTTGTGAAGAGCATCTTAACGTTTAAAATCACATCTCTGTGACTGAGATTAGTCACATGAAAAGATAGAACTTTGAAACAGTACTGTATATTTTTTTAAAAAACCAATCAGAATTGTCAGCTGTGATTCCGGTGCCTTCTCAAAAAGCATATATGGGCAGTGTTAAATTAGGGCTGAATTGAAATAAAACTATCATCTCAAGTCATGTCACTGATATATATTCATTTTATATATTGACTATTACTAACATCTAATGTAAGTCATGGCTAAAAATTACCTGTGGATATTTCTATAAAAGTGTGGAAATAAATTTTGTATGAAAAAATTCCTTCTGTGTTGGCAGTAATTTACTATTAATGCATTTTCAGTTTCTGTTAATGTGGGGCAAATATTGGTTTCAATTAGAGCTGCTCTTCACATTTTGCAGATGTGCTGAATCTATAAAAGTTAAAATAACTTGATGTTCAGTGTAAAGAAACAATATTGCCATCAAACCAGTGTACTTTGAGTTCAAAGACAATAAAATATTAAAGCCAGTGCTGGAAGGTTATATTGGCATGAAGTCAAGTTTAGTGACCCCCAGGGCCGGGGGTGATGTGTGAAACTGGATTTCCAGAAGGTGGTGTTGACAATGGAATAAATCTCAGAGATGTGGTATTGGAATGGATTAAGACAGTGATCCCAAAATTCTTGTTTGTGATGTTATGGATCTTTAGTGGGGGTTTTCACAATATGAGACCAGAAAGGAGAAACGGTGGTAGAGTAATATAGCTAAAAGATTAGGAATAACTTTAAATGTAAAGGGCTTTAGGAATGTTATAAAGAGGAAAGGAATGGAAATATTTTAAAATAAGGATAAAGCATTTATAATACTTTTACAAGAAACTCATCAAACAGAAGAACGTATAAAACTACTTAAATTGTGTTGGTTTGGTATTTATGAAAAAGCTTATGGGAGTTCACATTGCAGAGGGGTTTCAACCATAATTTCTAAGAAATTTGATTTTTTAAAGTGAATAAAATGAAAAAAAAGATAAAGTAGAATGTAATGTTACAAGGAATAATAGAAGAATATACTTTAATGTTTACTCTGTAAATCAAACTAGCTTTTAAAGGAAGCCTTGAAAGAATTTTGGAAGAGATAAGGAAGGGGCTTGTAATAATGGCAAGGGATTTTAATATGGTTATGGATTAAGAGAAAGACAAATCATTAAATTGAGATAAAGAATAATTTTATTATTAAACATATTAAAGAAGAGCAAAGCAGTTTTGTGATAGGATGACAAATGGCTCATTTGACTAAAAGTGCTAAATGTAAATAAATGTAGTGACAAACAAAAGGTGAAGGTGGGTATAATTTTATTAGACATTTTAAAAGCATTTTTATTGAGTAGAATGGTCAGCATGAAAAATGATAATTAAGATATTAGGCACTGAGGAACGATTTAAGGGAATCATAGATCAATTATATTCAGAGAATACTGCAGCAGTATTAATAAATGATAGGATAACAGGACAAATATTCCTAGGCCATGGTACTAGACAAGGATGTCCCCTTTCCCTGAGATTGTTTGCTTTAATTGTAGAATTGTTAGCAAATGTTATTAAACAAAATAAATTAATTTGTGGTATTGGCACTAAAGATAGTTTAAATTAGTTTATTTGCTGATGACACTTTATTAACAATGGAAACCCTATTAAAGGTTATGGTTAGCATAAAGTCATATTTAAAATAATTTGGAGGAATAACAGGGTTATAAATAAATTGGCATAATCAAGAGATGCTAATGCTTAATAAAGATGAAATAGAAATAATTAGAAAAGAATTATCAATATATTATTATTCAAATGTCTGTTAAGTAGGTATAAATAGTCGAATGCATTTAAAAAAGATTGAAAGGGGAATTTAAAAAAAACTGAAGCACGAAATAAAAAAATAAGGTGATTTTAGGAAAGTTAGACTTCCATGGTTTGATAGAATAATGGTATGTAAATTTTATCCCAGAAAAGTTTTTTATTCATGATGTTATGAATACAGACCATTGAAGAGGAGTTAAAAGACTGGCAAAATAGGGTTAATAAATTTTATAATGCAGATAAAAAGTCAAGGATTAATAAGAAGAGATGTTATACAAATCTAAAAATGTAGGAGAGTTGGGATTTCCTAATTTAAACTTATATCATATAGCCAACCAAATAAGACACACGATATATCTTAGTACAGAAGCAGAAAAATTATAACTGAACCTCCAAAACATTCTGTTTATGCAATATAATTTTTTACAACACAGTAAAAAAATTGAAAGTCTCTTATTCAAAAACACAGTATGCTTTTAATTTGAAATAAGTACAGTGGTACCTCGTAAAATGACGAATCCGCATGACGATGAGGTTTTGCGATCGCTATAGCGATTCGCAAAACAGTGGTTCCAATGGAGGATTTTCACTGGACGTTGATTTGGTCCGTGCTTCACAGACCGTTTGTTCGCAAGACTACAATATTTACAGTTGATCGGTGGCTTCGCAAAATGGCTTCCCTGTATTTTCAGAACCCATACTTCGCAGGACAGCCATTTTTACAGCTGATTGGCGCTCGCAAAATGGCTTCCCTATGGGCGATCTTCGGAGGACGACAATGTATTTTCCCCATTGGAACACATTAAACGGGTTTCAATGCATTCCAATGGGGAAACGGTTTTTGTATGATGATGATTTCGCTAAACAGTGATTTCTATGGAACGGATTATCATCGTCATCCGGGGCACCACTGTATAGAAAAATATTTATTCCATTAATTTCTCCACTTTATCTGGTTGCAGAGTTGGAGAAATTCTCAAGTAACTTGAAAAAATGGATTGAAAATTTATTAAGAAAGAAGCAAGTTATTAAATTAAAAGACTGGGTAGAAAAAAAGGAATAAAGAGCAAACAAAAGTGGAATGGATATATCTTGCTTTTAATCTTATTTGGTTAGAGCAGTGGGCAAAGGATTGGGTAAAAAGAAATAGTAAATGTGGGGAATGCACAAAATTTTGAGAAATTGCCTTATAAAACGAAAGTGCAGGTGCAAGTAGGGTAATGAAAGGGACAGGAAGCAATATTGGGCAAGACATCAGTCCCTTTGCCACTTCGGCCGGACCTCCCCAGACAGATTCCTTCTCAGCCCAGTAAGACATGGGATCAGTCTCTTTTGGCTTGCAGGGCCTCTACCTCTGCCATGCCCATCCTTTGGGGTGGTGTCTTTAGAAGACAGGACCTCGCCATGCTCCTCAAGACAGTGTCCCAGAAAGCTTGCCCTGTTCTTCCACGGATGAGGGACTTGGGCTTTAGAATACAAACCGCTGGTGCTGCTGTTTGGGGTGCTATGAACATTGTTAGTTCCTTCATGCTCTGTGTGACCCCCCCCCCCGTGTTAGCCTGACCTTTGTCACCACCTGCTGGTGCAAGTAATGCAACGTTAGCTGGTATTGCCTAGCCCCTATTCATTTCCCAGTGTTTAATTCGAAGATCCAAGAGGGTTGCTAGAACGTACTCCTTCGACAGGGAGGAAAACTTGTAAGGGAGCAGGTCCTGTAATTTGCTGGCCAGTCACCCTGTCAGGACAGGAAAATCACTGTTCTCCCTTTCTGAAATGCCCCTTGGCTGGTAATTCAAGGCTATCATCTCGCAGAAGTGATGAATAATCCTGGCCTTTTTGTGTCTGCAAAAGGCTTTTTACTGCACCCCTCCGAGGCAGTCTGAAACATATTCTTGAAATGTTTATCTGGCCTTTACTGCCTTCCTCCTCCTCTTATTTGCCCATCTATCTCCCTCTTTCCCTGGACTGCTGACTCAACAAAACAATCTGTCACCAAAGGTTATGGGGGCAGAGAACTCCATTTCTCTTGATTGGGGTTGCCATGAGTTTCTCAAGAGAGGGGGCTGTTTGCACCCAAAGAAATTTAGAGGCAGGCACTTTTGGAAGGAAGGAAGGAAAATAAAATAAAAAGAAGAACACTGTAGTACCTTACAGACTAACTTCTATGTTTTAATGTGAGCTTTTATGGAAAAGTCCACTTCCTCAGACTAGAGATGGCCACAAACTGGAAAACGCGTGGTTCATGGTTTGTTTTTCCAGTTCCTGCCACAGGGGAGAATACCTGCTCCTGCCGCTTCCACTGTGGGTGCACGCTTGGCAGCAGCAGCTGGCACCCGCAACAATGGTGGCAGAGCAGTTAGGCAGAGAGAATGAAATGCCAAAGGGGAAAAAAGTTCAGTGTTTCAGTTTTGTTTCAGCAAAAGGGGATGCCCGAGTGCATCAGCTACTATGGACGAGACGCAAATCTCACAACCATCCCCGACACTTTCTACCATTAACTCTCCGTTACCAATATCCACCAAAACTAAATCAAAATTACAAAAATCGAAGTCCTCGGGGTTCACATCCCAATCCACCCTGACACCGAAAGCTGATCCGAAACTGGTCACTTCCAAACAAACAAACAAACAAAAATCAAAGAAATCTTCCATTGAGTCTTAGTCTCCGGTTCCACAGCCTGCACTGCAAGATCAACTCACCATACGACTAGATTCTGACCATGACTCCATTCCACTTCCATCCGGCCAACCACTCTCTCTACTGGCCCAATCACCTTCATGGGTGGATACCTCGGTCAAGGTAACCATTTTACAGCATTCGGCCTGTTCAAGCCCCAAATCTTTGGGTTGTTCAGTGTTTGTATGTGAGTCTGACTCAGTATCAGCATCTATCCTTCCTGACCCATTGCTCTCACGTAAAAGGAAGGCGAAGCTCCACCAAGTACAAGACATTGGCTGTTCCGATACCGGTCACGTACAGCCTCCGACTCATTCAGGACTGTTGCTATCATTCTCAAGCTCGACACCATCAGTCTAAGAGAGTTACAGTGGTGCCTCGCAAGACGAATTTAATTTGTTATGTGGTTAATGCCATCTTGCAAAAAATTCGTCTTGCGAAACGCGTTTTCCCATAGGAATGCATTGAAATCTAATTAATGTGTTCCTATGGGCAAAAAAAGTCAGAACAAAGTCAAATTTGGTTTACAAAGGAGTTATTAAGTGCTCTTTAAAGTCATACATATTGTGCAGATGATTTCAAAAATTTCAATAAAAAATTTAACTTTTTAAACATCATAGAAAAACATTTAAAAATCAGCAAACATGAGGCAGGAACAGCTGCCTTCACTGAAACTGAACAGAAACAGTCACTTAACAGTGCTTGGATTGTGCAAAACTCTTCAGAAAGTGCATTTTCAAGGCATGTAAACATACAGAAACCAACAGTACAGAAACTTTTTACATTTCACAT